TGCACGCCAGAGAGTACCCTAGGCCCGCTTACCAGTAGAACTCGAACAATGCCCCCAAGATTCCAGCTCGATTTCATGTATTACCTGTTAGCGAAAGCAAATTCAAATTCAAATTCTCTTTCCCTCTCTCTCCCACACACAATCTCTCTCTCCATGCTGGCACCGCTGGCACTGCCGACATCGGATTAAGACGCAAGAAATACAACTAGAGATATGATTAAGGAGGCGACCGGAGTCCGTCACATGAAATTATGGTTCGTGGCCAGTATAAGTAGTCGACCACTGTGCATCCAAGGATCAATATCTCTACCAACTTCTCCACTTACCAACCCGGTCGCGACAGATGTTCCTGCATAAGCAGCAGACTGAGCCAGGTGCGTTTCTTCTTTTCATTGATGACAATGGGATCTGATACATTGACTTTAATATAGAACAGAGCAAGGACAGAAAAGACGTCGAAGTGCATGCAAGTCACGTGATATCCCGTCAACCAGGTCCAAAGTCGATGTCATTTTCTGAGCAGACGACCAGCCCCATGCGTCTACGTGGCGGCTGTTGCACTGTCTGTTGTGAGTAAACTTCCGTGCTGCTCAAGTTTCCCTGGACACCTCCGAGTAGCAACGTTCGATCCAGAATGTTATGAGGGGCTCCAAAGAAAGGAGAAATTGAAGCATTTCCTCTCGGCTCTCCAAAAGGGGGGAAAGCAATGCTCTTAAGGGGCTGTCTCTTTGTTGAATCTTATTTCGTCCAGCTAGCTGCCAAGGAATACTGACTAGATCACTTATTAGGCTGCTGCCCTAATCCATTTGAGAAACTTTGCGACTGTCTTTTTGACTGGCTACCTAAATGCAAATGATCCTGCTTGGGTAGGGTATGAACTCCCCCTCGACAGTCTGCGACTGGCTAGATGTGCAGCTGCCTCGCTCTGAAACTTGATAAAATAACGCTCAACTCAGATCTGACTTCTATTTGAATCTTGTAACAATGTCATGCCTTCCACGACCCATCCTAATATATATAGTATTTCCATTCGGGCACTCAGCCAGTTGTAAAGTACTCATAATTCACTAAAAGACGTAGTCTAATGGTTTCTGGGTGTGGGGGAAAGGCTTTCCATAAGCCAGACGGTAGCTTGAAGCATGATTTATCACAGATCCTCTAATACGTCCATTGTTTGGAGGTCAAGTGGTTCTGGGTCTAAATCTACATGATGAGTGACCATTTATTGATTCTCATTTGCTTATTACAAGCATCTCTCCTGGATATCCTACCTAGAATCATTCCCTTCCTTGCTGGGCCGGCCACCCGTGCGAGTCAACACCGGCCCATTCCAGAACTGGGCAACGCCGTACATGCCGGCCTTGATTACACTGCCAGTATAGAGCCTCGCCATAATCTGGCCTTTTGAGTTAAGAAGGCATGAACCTGGACCAACTCGCGAGACGATTGAGGCTGACAGGACTTTCATAATCTGCCATATAAGAAGTTGACCGCGGTGCACTGAAGGTTTATTATCCTTACTACTCAATATACTTGGACGTCTCCCACATATGCTTCCGCACAGGCAACAATTGGAGTCGGGTGGGCTTCGCTATTTCCCATTGACCATGACAAGACCTGATGAGTTGTCTGTGATTCAGGGCAAATCAAAATCAGTATCGATGGTTACATGTACCCAAGTCACGTAGTGTCGTATCAGCCAGGCGCAAATATGACGATCTGTCAAGAGATAACACCTACACGTCTGCGTGGTGGAGGTGCATGCTTGCCTTTTCTCAAACTTTGCTGCTGTGAGTATTTCTGTGCATTTATTTGGTCCTTCAGAGGTTTAAGGAAGCTGTCTCGGGTGTGTGGAGATGTTGAGCTCAGATGTCTCCGTCCAGAGGTCCTCGTTTGCAGAATATTATTGACCATTTAAATCAGGCTGCATTTATTTGTGCTTGGAGACTTGGGAACTTTGCGATGATCCTTAGGAATGACGAATTTTGTCTGGGTGCTCTGTCTTCGGCTCGGACATCAAGCAGTGCTTATGCATTTGACACTGCCCAAGACTGACTTATGAATCGCTTCACTGATCAGTTGTATCGCATGTCGCCTAGTATGACGCCTCTACTCGATATTAATTTTTGTGATCTGTACACTTGGCCACAGTCCATGTACGTCGCTTTCGGGAGAGGACAGTAATCCCATGCGTCTTCGCGGCGGAAATGTCCATTATCCTATTGCCGCATGTCTCTGCATGTTTGCATCTGTGAGTACTCCAAACTGCCCTCAGGCTGGGATTCTGTCTCCCAAAGAGGAATGTCCTTTATCTGAACGCCGGTTTCCTGGAATGACGGATATTAGATGTGTAGGTCAGGTTGTGGATTGGAGGAGCTTTGCTGTCTAGAGGCGATCGACGACTGCTTCGCAATGTGTAAGTGGGTCCGGATTCCATTCCAATCTCATATCACACAGTCAATGCTTGGGGTGAATATTTCCAGCTCATTGATTCAGATATTTCAAGTATACATTGAATAAAGAGTATAATGGCCATTTGAACTTCGCTAGAGAGGGGTAATTAACATGACCGACAAATACACATTTGTCGACTATACTTACAATGACTGCATCCTACATTTTTGGAATGAATTGTACTAAATGAACATCTCATAACTGATCCGTGCGGCGTTTCTCTAGATCTGCCACAAGGCGACAGTACCGATGGATAAAGAGAATCAAAGAGAAGAAATATCCTGTCGCACATTGTAGATAAATCCGTGTGGAGTCCACCCAGAACCCCGAGCTGGATCGAGTCGAGTCGACGCCAGCCGACTCCAGAACCAAGTGTGCCTGTTCATGCTGGCACTGCTGGCACCTAAGTTCAGCGACATCTAGAACTAGATTCAGCTTTGATTTTCAAATATCCCAGAAGATACATATCCAGACCAGCTCGAGAGATGGCCACGGAGGTGGACGGAGTCCGTCGTATGAATCTGTGGCTCATAGTCAGTATAAGTAGTCGGCCACTGTCCATCATGGATCGATATTTCTACCAATTTCTCTACTTGGACACTTTCCCAACCTAGTTGCTCCGTATGAAGCAGCAAACTATCGAGCCAGGTAAACTCTTTGCCTCATGAAAAATCTACAAATCTAACGAGTTGACTCTCACATAGAACGAAGTGAGGATAGCAAAGGTATCGATGATACCGACCTGCATGCAAACTGTGTAGTATCAAACCAGCCAGGTGCAAAGTTTATGTCACTCTCTGAGAGGACCAACCCCATGCGTCTTCGTGGTGGCACAGACCCATGCACATGTTTGTTCATACTGTGCTTTTGTGAGCATTTTATAGCTTCCTCAAATTCTCTTGAGTGCGTTGAATGATGCGTATGCATCATTGAACGACCTGCCTGTTTCTCGCTGACAAGCCTGAACCAAGCGGCTATCCGGACATGGACTCCACCATAATATTCCTTTTCGGCTTCTAGAAGCTCGGCACATTTAAAAAACCTAATTTTTTTAAAATCTAGACGTCTATAGAATGATACTGACACACCACTTAGGCTGCTGTCATTTCTGCGACGACATATGCGACGACCTCTAAGAATGGTGAGATAATGGAGAGTGTTTTGTCTAGACTTGGCTTGGTCGGTGTGATACAGAACACACACTCTTGATAGCAACTAGAGACGCACTTTGTCTCACCACTCAACAAGATGTTGCCCATGTGTTATTCTTTCGTAATAGTTTTCGTGATTTTTTGCATCCCACAACTATGAAATGCAGTAATTGGATGGGACTAGGTACTTGTAGGAATCAATTCCACTTATCTCAGTATCATATTACCACATAATCGTTTCAGCTGAAGTGACTGCTTTCGTGCGCGCCCTGCCCCCTACCCTTATAAAATCACTTCTTGAGTAGGAATATTAGAAAGCCCTTTGAGAAGACTTCCGCCTATCATTCGTGTCAGCAGATTAGTATGTCCAGACTCACTTGCTCAATTGCTGGCTGGGTCACGTTGAGTCAATACCAGCCCGGTCTAGAACCAAGCCAGCCTGTCCATTCCGCAGTGCTGGCATCTAGTATCGCCGAAATTTCGCATTGAAGCTTCGTTAAAGTTATATTCTCTCGAAAGCGCAAATCTAGGCCCATTCGCAAGATTATAATTGGAGAGGCGAATGGAACATTTGATCTTCAGTATAAGTAGGCGATCGCGATACATCAACAGGTCATTCTCTGCTACTTGCTCTGATAGGATTACTGCTACGCATGCTTCCGCACAGGCAACAGTCGAAGCCAGGTGGTGAGCATCGCCGTTTCCGATTGATGAGGATCTAATGCAGGTTTCTGTTATTTAGAAACCAGTGGAAATGGCTATATACATCCGAGCCACATAGTGTCACATCAGCCAGGCGTGAAGTCCATGTCGCTCCTCAAGGAGGAGAGAATAGCTACGCGTCTGCGCGGAGGCATATGCTCATGCTTACTTTGCTGCTGTGAGTGTTTCTATGACTTAATCAGGTTTCTCTGGGCGCTTCAGGCCGTTGTTCAGGCCGTTGTGGCTTGGGACTTCTCCTCTTGGGGTCCTTGTTTGCAGAATATTATTGACCATATTATAATCAGGCTGCGTTTACTTGTGCTTGGAGTCTTGGGAACTTTGTGATGAACCTTAGGCACGACATATTGTTGGCTTATGAGTTTGGCGACTGTCCGGGATCACATCAACCCATGAGTTCCCTCACCACTCAATCGTATCACAAACGGCCCTGTATTACATCTCCACTCTTTGTATTACTTTTTGTGATTGTATAGCATATCCGATAAATTCATAAATACTGAGCGACTCTATAACCCAATTTCAATATCTTATTGCCCTTCTTCCCAGGATCACAAGAACAATGAACCCACATGAGACTGATGACGGAGTAAACAGCTATCTGAGGATCGTAATTCTGGGGGCAAGTGAACTGTATATCAAAAGTAAGCGTATTTCAATGATCAAGTATTGAGATTATTCCTTCTTGGCACCTGTCACAGACATCCCAGCCATCGCCTGCTGCAACATGTGCTCCCTATTCGCATCCCATTCCTTCTGCACTGCCAGAATCGTCTCGCGAATTTTTTCGTCTGACATTGCAAGGACATCTGCACTCGTAAAGTTGAGTTTGAAGTGTTTGAGAATGTCCCCAATGACTTTCCCTTCCCTTCCTGTCACCTCCGTTACAAGAGTACCGTTGAATTTGGCCCTGACAGCTTTGCGGGTCTCGATAGACTTTGCAAGTGCGTTATATTCGTCACGCTTACCGAACGCGTCGAGCGCCTCTTCCACGACAACGGCTGGGTTCGCCGCGACTCTGCCCTCTGGCCATTGCGCATCGTGATCGATATACTGCAAAAACTCTTTGTACATCCAGCGGTCGAGATGCGTGGGGGAGACTGTGCGGAGAGAGCCCAGTGTCGCGAACCGGGATGAGATGAGCCAGTCGAAAATTTCCACGCGTGTCTTGAAACCTCGCTTCCAGTGCCCGTAGTCGAGATCAATGAACTTGAGAATGCGATCGACGGACGGCTCCAAGATGAATGGGCGGTTCTCGATAGGCTCGGTATGCTCGCGACGGGCAATCTGAGCGAGGATCAGTCGAGTTTGATAACAGTTTTGATACATACCTTGAGTCCTTTCCGAGAGAACGTGAGACCGATGGACTTGCAGAGCAAGCCAATGATGAGGCCCGTGTCACCATATGAATTGAAAAAGAGTAGCCTTTCGCGAGTATGGTCGTCTTCAACCATGTTTAAGTCCACCTGATAGTACGTCTCCGCTTCGTCTTGACCCTCAGGTTTGACATCTGACTGGAGACCGACCTGGCTTTGAGGGATGGCCAAGCTGATGAAACTGTCGCCATTGGAAACAGTATGGCGTGCACCAAGGAGTTCCTTGGTCTTCGTTTTAAAATCTTCATCGCCGCTGACGCGTCGATACGCGTCTTGCGTGATGACCACGTCCAGATCACCGTAGTCGACCTTTCCAGGGTCTTCCGGTGCGACATGAACAGGCCCGCATTCGGGTTCGAGTCGAGTCACGACGTACGTCTTGAGCGCGGCGTACACAGCCGGACTCATACGCGGAAAAGCTGCGGACGACCCGAGAGAAGATGCAAATGCTTTGCCACCCATGATGCCTGGTCGAAGTGAGGATCAACTTGCACTTACCACTCCGTCAAAAGGACCCCTCCGTTTTATGTCAAAGTCGAGCAGAGTCTGATTCGATTGGGTTCCCTGGCGGCTGGAATCTGATAGATTGTACCTAGATATGAAACATGGCTCTACTTTTTCCCCTCCTTCGATGCCTCGTTCACTGTCGACATTTGCGTTAGTCAATTGCCAGGCAAGAGCCAGAGAGCGCTCACCATTCAACAACAGCGTATCAGAGTCTAGCATTACGCGATTGTCGCTTGTAGATAACAGGCCCGCGATGTCTCTTGCGGCCTCCAGTTTTCGCAGTTCGAGAAACCCCTTGTTCTTGCGAACGGCATCACCAATCAGCTCCGCGGAACGTGCCTCTCCCTGTGCCCTGACAATAATCGACTGTCAAATGGGTTAGATTAAATCTCCAGGCGCCATCATAATGCACACCTGTTTCTCTTGGATTGCCTGGTCGACCAAGAATGCCGCCCGCAAGGCAGTCTGCTGTGCAATCTAGACAAACGTGTGAGTTTCATACCCAAAGAATAGGAGATGTACCATACCTGCTTGGCCTCGACAGCAGACGTAAACTCGGGCGAGAACGCAACATGGGTAATCGAAACGTCATCCAAAACGAGGTTGAAGCGCAGCGCTCGCTTCGTCAAGTTGTCTCGCACGAGCTTTGAGACCATTTCTCGCTGCGTGATGAGCTGACTGGCGTTGAACTGGGCAACGACCGACTTCAAAACTTCGTTGACGATCGAAGGCAGCACGCGCTCATCATAGTCGTTTCCTAGTTCTCTATATATGGTCGGGAGTGCGTCTATCGACGGTCGAGACAGAACACGACAGCTAATGTTGACCATCTGCAGGTCTGCGAAACGCTCGTCTTCAGCTTTGCGCACTCCATACAATCACATAAACGCACCCTTTGTGCCCGTTAATGACGCTATTATACGCGGCTTTGCACGAATGTCGAATATGATGGGTTTCTCAAACCAAGGAATCTGCATCGTCGTGAACAGTCAGCTCTCCATAGTACACGGGCAGCAAGACATACGTTGATATGTGTTCCCTCGGAGTAAATATCCTGCTTGACACCATGTAGCCTTACAAGCAGTCAGCCAAGTTGTGCCGGTGTAGAACGCGTCGTGTGCTTACCTCGTATATTTGATCGCCCGGTGACCACCGTCGACTGAAAATACATTTATAAACTTTATTCTTAGGAATAGAGCCAATAACTCACCTGTGAACAAGCTGGCGTTGAGGGCTAGACCTCCAAGAACCAACAACGCGAGTCCTCCGCCAGCTGCAAAGAATCCACCAGGTCCAGGACGAGGAGACGATGCAGGTCTCCGTCGTTCAATTTCGCGCATCCATTTTTTGATAGTTTCCTCGTTCATGGCCAATGAGGTCGAGCAAAGGGATGCCGCAACTTCTTTGGTCAACCATTCACCATTTATTCATTCTCACCATTGGATAACGAGACGTTGGTCATTTATTATAGTACCTTCAAAGGACTCGTCACATAATACTCATGCGCGCGATGATGAGGGATGCACTGCGGGCATGGGATTGCACTGAAAAAATGAAGCAAGGGTAGGAAAATGAAGACTATGTGCATTAGACTACAAGGGACGAGGTATAACCGCAGGGCAAGGCAAGCGATCACGCAGCCAAAAACAGCCCCTTGGGTCAAGCTTTGATTGTATCTTCGTTTTTGTCCAATAAATGGTTTGTCAAACCAGGATGAGCGTCTGCATCTGGCACCCTCCCCGTATCTTGTGGCGGCACCTTGTCTTCGGGTATAGCAGCAGACGGCGCTGGGACAGGTGGCGGAGGCGTCTCCTGGCGTTTCGACGCTTCTGCACCCGCGGGCGCCTTCCCGATGGCCAGTGATGGGAGTGGGACAAGAGGCGATCCAATCGAAGAAATTTCAGAGTGGGCAGGGCTGGAGACTTTGACCCAGCTCTTGCCATCGTTGGCGAATCCAGTCTCCGATGGCGTTTCCGAGCTCTTGTCAACTTGTACGACACCCAAGTCAATCATTCCTTGCTTCTCCGAGGGCGACGCGAGCGTGATGTGCGCACGCGGGAGCGAGTCGGTCATCTCCTCGTCCTCGTCAACAGCGGTAATTTTTGCCCCACCATCGTGGTCCATCTCGTCATCATGCAGACCAGACTCGAGGTCACTTAGTTGACTCTTGAGCGAGTTGGTCTTGTCCTTCCCGTCGCCACCCACTTTGAGTCGGTTGACCCCAAAGAGGCCACCCTCCCCCGTGTCTCCCGCGTCGTCATCGTCATCATCTTCATAGTCGTCGTCATCATCGTCGTGACTAAATGAAAGAATATTAGAGCCCCCACCGCGACCGGCAGGCGCAAAGCTGATGCCCGTTCCTCCCGCCATGATTCTGGCCAGCGCACCAAAGCCAGCCGGTCCTCGCAGTGTAAAAGTGCCCGGAGCCGATGCCGCATTGCTGCGATATTGACTACGATTCTGGGCGGCGAGGATTCGGCTCTCGGCGAATATCTGAGGGAGATCCTCCGGTGTGGCGTAGCCATAATTCTTCTCGACTCGTTCGGCAATCCAGTCGTACCATTGATCAATGGTTCGCCCATTCAGAATCGCAACGACGATCATGGTCATGTTGTCGCAGCCGACGCCAGCTCCTGTATCGGCGTCGGGCGCACAGCAACGTTGAATGGTCGTTTCGCAAATCTCTTGTAGCGACTTTTTCTGAGCAATCAGGCGCCTAACCATGTCAACGGCCTGCTGTGAGCTTAGGCAGTCCCAGATGCCTAAGGGGGTGTAAGTGACTGGTACATTTCGAACCAAAAGATGTACCATCGCAAGCAAGGATCAGAAACTCGTCTTCATCACTTAGTTCATGAATTTCAATATCTGGGTTTGCCGTAACAATTTGCTTCTCTGGACCGAGGGAATTATTGCTCTTGAATTCAGAATCCCCAATGGCTCGAGAGAGCGCAAGATTGCCTGAAACTGTTCAGCTAAACTGCCAAGGTACGGATATGCCAACCGTTTACACGTCCATATTCCACAAAGCCGCCAGCGGCCACAATACGCGCAGTTTCATCTGTTGTAGGTGAGGAAATCCTCTAAATAGGAATAGGTGAGTCGCACCTTTATTTGTCGGTTTGTGGTCAAAGCTCATTGGCTTAACTTCTCCCTTGATACTGAGGACGGATCTCAGAATCTCAGCATCGCCTAGAGCTCACTCGGACGACTGTATTAAATATAACGAGACGACGTACGACATAGAGCTTGCGATCCTTTGTCAGTAAGGCGGCAACGGCCGTGCACCCTGAAGGATCGTGCATAAAAGTCGTATCTGCCATTCAATGTCAGCGGCGATCTGAGGCGTCTATTGGAGAGGCTACTACCAGCACGGAGTCGTCGTCTGTCCCCAAAAAGCCTTCTTCAGCGCCGTTGCATAGTCGCCTTCTATATAGGCGGATTCCTGAGCCTAGACGTTCTGCTACATGTTGTGACCGGCGTATTTGGCCACGGTGGAGCCTAGAGGCGGTGTGTGCATTAGTAGATGGACGTGAAGGATAACCGCGATTGTATTCCTCCGTGGCCGTCAAACACGGCGAAGAATGAGTTTCCCTCGAGGGATCTAGCGAGGAGTGTCGTGCGCGTCCTCCATGCCTGTAAACCAAAGACGACGATCAGCCGTTGGGGCCCAGGTGGCGCTGCGTACAGAGGCGGAGATTAAGGTAAAAATACGCACTGACTCGCCATCCTTGCATCTGAGATTGCATACGCATAGCGGTCATCGGCGCCAGACTCAGGTGCTTTTCGGTGACTGTGCATGAGCGTTGGATTTGTATAATCCACGGATAACAAGACAATACCTGGCTCTGAAAGTGTTTGACCCTACAAGAATCAGCCATCTCGTCGCTGCGCCGCGGAAGGAGACTGACCATGAGACAAAGCAAGACCGCGTCGCCCAAGACGTTGCAATCGTTATAATAATCGTATTCTCAGCTCACTGGCGGCGCTCGATGGGACGCGGCTCGACGGTCAATGACGGCGCAGAGGTTAAAGCGATCCCAACTACTTTTGCACGCGAGCGCCGCCGTCGTCGCCAATATTCACAACAAAATGGCATTTACAGTCAAGAGAACACTTATGAACCCAAAGTTTGATGGCTGCAAGCTGGCCGCTCAGTGAAGCAGACGTCGTGCACTCTACTACTCAGCAGACGGTCTCTCGCAGGCGACAGTCGCTGCGGGTGCCTACTTGTCCTTTCAAGAGGTTCAGAACCGTATCCGCCACAATCATCTGTCCCCTGGATCGGCTCACAAGGCTCAGCCACCCTGGTTACATCGACAAGGCAGGGATTTTTACCATCATTGAGATCGACAGGGTGAGCCACTATAATTAGACGTATGTCATTACTAACGACGATTGGAGGACTCCTAGTCAACCTTGACCGTTCGATTTCGATCTGTGTTTGAAATCCCTCAGGTCATCAGGAGTTCACAAAGAGGCTCAGAGTATCCTGTCGCAATCTGTGCAGCACCCGACATCTGGGTCATCTCAGACGGCGGCGGTCAGCTCTTTGTGGTGCGAACCCCACAAACAGCAGACCAGGCAGAGCTGTTAGCTCAGCACGACTATATCGTCGATAACGAACCAAAACCCTGTAGAATGCATGCAGCGTGCATGCGTAACGAGTCAATACTCATCATTGTGTCCAGCCGAGGTCAGGTCGAAAAGGCCGCCAGTGGCAGGCCCTCGATGACCTTTCATCTGGCAACGTTGCGAATTCTCATTCCAGATGGGCCACCAATGGACACCAGATCTTCTCTGTAGAGATTCTGTGGACGAAGCGAAGCACAGATATTCCTTCGTACGTGAGCTCCATCGCAGACAATTGGCTCATTTGCGCTGAGGCACGTTCGAAGACGTTTTGGACCCAATCGTCGTACCGATGGAGATGTACCTATGGTTACCTTGCCAGACACGCAGCCCACTGGCAAGCCCCCACCGTATACTCGTGGACTCAAACCAATGACTCGTGACCATCGCAATTCCTCTTTATTCTACTACTGCCAAAGTCCCATATCCACGTCTCCATTGCGCCAAAATACCTGAGCGTGCTGATCAAGGACGCTGAAGACTCCCTTTCCCGATTCCTCGATACGCGATGAAAGAGCTCTGGGACCATATCGATAAAGAGACCAGCCTCTGGACTTGGGACAAACAAGGAGAGGCACTGTAGGACTCTTTGACCTTCATCTCGAAAAAGAAGAGAGGGACCAAATGGCCGCACGTCTTTGCTCATGATGGGACTAACCCGACTCGGAAGAAGTTACCAGAGACTGTAGATCCATCGGAAATGTGGAAGATTCGCGAAGCACTTGAAAAATACATCAGACCTGCAGGCAGCAGGCGGAATTTGGGACTGAGATGCCGAGTCTCGCTGCTGGTGAATTGGACCTAGTGTTGATACAGAAGTTGGCCGAGAATGACCGTGTCGTACTTTGACGTTCTCACTGGACAAGAGGCGTCGCCTCACTCAGCATATGAAGAAATCTCCTTCCCCATCCCTTCCACCATATCCACTCTTAGCTCAGAGACAGATGCGATCTATGGTGATCAAACGCGGGATCGACGGACTATTGTTCGAAGGCCCAGTCGTACCTACCGTCGAACCTGGAACACACCCACACATTCCCAGCACTCGGTTTTGTACTCGCCAGCAAGCGTGATCTGCGGTACGCCTTTCACCTTGGAAAGCTGCCATCGTAGCGCTGGAAAGTGGCGGCAAGGACGTCAATCCTAACATGTACATCTACTGCGGCCAAAGGAGCACCCAATGCGAGACAGAGCGTGGTCAGACTAGGCAGAGATGGATCTGCTGGATCCTTGGTTGGAGTAGCCCTGGTAGAGACAGAAAAGGGTTGGTCCTGGTTGGTCTTCGTGAACGAGAACTTGTACTTGTTGCGACTTTCTCTGAAATAATATGCGTTGGTTGAAAATAGTGCCTTGAACTCGACCACGCCGTGGGTTTGAATGCAAAAGAGCTGGCAAGCTCACCGTCGACGAGTTTACGCGTCTTTTTCAGAAATCCAGGCCTCAAATGGCTGGGGAAATACTATTGGTTTGTCTCAGCCGGTTCTCCGTGCTGCTTTCTCAACCTGTTGGTAGCCATCGCATTTTCTGGCGGAGTCGACTCAACATGTCTCCTACATTTACTGCATAAAATGAAGCAGGAAACAGATGATCCAAATCTAAAGGGCCTCCAGATTGGTGGCTATCCATATTGACCATGGATTTCGTTCAAAGTCGACACAAGACGCTCCACTGTGAAAAACTGGGCAAAATCTCGCTCTATTCCTCTCGTCTGCATGCAAGATTCCATGGGGAGAGCCACCCTTTCCGAAACTGAAATCTTAAACGAGCATAAAGAAATGGCGCGCCTCCTTGGATGCAGCTCTTGTTCTGGGTGATGCAAGAGAAGAAGGCGAGCACGATATCTCATGGCCCATCATCTTGACACGACCAGATTGAAACGTCAGTGATGCGGTACCGGCGCCTCAAGGACCGAACCTTTGCGTCTGGTATTACTCCACTGGGTCTCGCGGGTATGAGACCTTGTCGAAGATGGGGATGGGTCTACCACCCAAATCTGGACTGGGCTTTTTGGTGCGGAAGGATGAACCATTGGATTTCTCGGCCACCTCGAAGTTCCAAAGGTGAAGACATGGAAATTGTTGGAAATGGAACTAATCTCAATGGATAGTCTCGTATTATACAAACGGCGAAGACGACGGCCTCATTTGGGTGGAGGACAGAAAGCAACGACGTCCATTTTACGGAACGAAATTCGATCCGAGCACAGATACGAGTAGCGCCAGAGTCTATTGGCTCTTGGCTCCCCACTTCCTCCTTACTCGCCTTTTGAAGACGGTAATCACCTTCCTTTGGTCGACAAAGTCAACCGTCACATCGAAGTGCGAGATGAAGTCGAGAACGAAGGCGAGTGGCCAAATAGCGTTGATAGACTAGTCTAATTAAGGGTTACAGCCGACGTCTATCTACGCAAGCATACAGGTTTTGGACCGGAAGGCACTTTTCACCTGTGACGAGCAAATCAACGTCACCATCAGGTAACGTGAGGCTAGCCGTCGTTTCACGCATACTGCGCTACATGTCACCACATCCATGGGGATCTCCACAAGCAGAGGCAGGTCGCGACAGGGCCAAGCTACGCAGGATAGCAGATATATGGCCTTATGTACGTGTGGCCTAATCGTCGTTCTTCTTTAAAGGATCATCAGAGAGATGAGGCTGAGGAAGAGACTTTCTGGAAGGCGAACCTGGCAGGGACTCGCCGCAAGTTTAGCGGAGGAGGCTTCGTCTTTGGCATCCCTACCCCATGGACCAGTCTTACGAAAGTGCTCAGCCAAGGCTACGTTGCAGATACTCGTGGTCTGGACTCCATTATTCGGCATGATGAGGCATTCGGCTGGCTCGCACAAAGGCAACCGACCCACAAATTTTGTCCAGCAACAGTTGACATCACAGAAAAACTCGAATCACGA